CCCCCCCCCCCGAGCGGGTGGCAAACGCCCGCCTGAGCCGGCCTCGTCCCGTTGCAGGCGGACAAGCTGGAGTGGGCCAGCTGGACTTGCGTCCTGGGTCCCGACTGCGAGGGAATCTGGCCCGCGTTGGGCTCGGTCAACGCGGCGTCGCTCAGCAGAGACGGCAAACTGCTGGCCAGCGGCGACGACTTTGGCTTCCTCAAGCTCTTTGGCTTCCCGTGCAGGGTGAGGTGGCGGCGGCCCCCCCCCACCCCTCCTTTCTCGACACGGCCCTCTGATCCGGTGCCTCTTCTCCGCCCCCTCACCCCCCACCCCAGGGTCACTTCTCCAAGTTCAAAAAGTACGTGGGTCACAGCGCCAACGTGACCAACGTCCGCTGGTCCAACGACGACGCGCTGTTGCTGTCGGTGGGCGGGGCCGACGCGGCGCTCATGATTTGGCTCAGGGAACCTCCGGGTCAGAGGGAGAACAAAGCCCTCGACAGCGAGGAGTCCGATGACGACGCCGAGGAAGACGGAGGTACGCCGTGCGGCAAACGCTGCGCTTCTCGCCAATCTTCACTTCTGCCTTTGACGTGGGACGGCGCCCGGCGGAGGACGCTTTGCCGCGGTCCGAGCGAGAAGGCGTTGCTTCGACGGGGGCCTCCGTCGGCGACTTGAGCTTGGCCGTCGCGTCCTCGCCCGCGGCCCTCTCGCGACATCCGGCGGGCTCGGCAAAGCGTGTCGAAAAACCGCAGCGGTTTTGGGCAGGGCAGAAACGACTCCGCGGCCGCGTGTCGATCTTCTCGGCGTCCGGCTGAGAAAAATCCCGTCTTCCCGTCGTCGGTGTTGGCATGGCGAGCGTTTCACGTGGAAGAAAAAAAAAAAAAAAAACCTTCAATCTCGATAGGAATAAACTCGAGTCAGCCGGCGCCACTGCGGTGTCCCGCAAGGGTCCGTTTTTGGTACTGGAGCAAAGCGCCGCTTCTTCGGCGTCGACCCGCGGGGGAAAAGGGGGGCGTCCTGGACTTTGCAAAAGAGTGGCTTTCTATTGCCATGTCATCAGGCTACGACAGCGACGTGGCTCGGGAGAGGGCGGCGGACTACGTGACCAAGGTCTACTCCCCCAGCATCCGGAAGATGACGGGAACCAAACCTCACCTGCAGCACAAGGAACTTGCGCTGGAAGAAAGGTACCGGCGTCGCCCGCTCGGCACTTTTTGGATCCCGCGTCTCGGCGCCGTCATCCGGCCGGCCGTCGCCTTTTCAGACCTCCGGTGAGTCGGGCGACTCCGCTGCCTGACAAGCTGCTGCGGAACAGCGCGTCCAGGAAGAAGAAGGCGGTGGAGGCGAGTCCGGCCGAGCGCTGGCGATTTTGGGCGCCGCCCGGCGTGACGGCGCTTGTGCCGTTGTTGCCTTTCCAGGACCTGCGGCTGGATCACGTCTTCGGGTACCGGGGCTCGGACTGCCGCAACAACCTTCACTACCTCAACGACGGCGCCGACATCGTCTTCCACGCGGCGGCGGCGGCCATCGTGCAAAACCTGTCCTCGGGTTTGTAGTCGGCGCCGGGGCGCGGCTGGCAAAAGTACTCGCGTATCGGTCGTGCGCAGGGGACGTCCAAACTACGGACAAACGGAACAAACGCCGCGTGGCCGGCCGACGCACCCCCATCCCGTTTGTAGCCGGCAAAGGCCGCGGGAGACCGCCTTCCTGCTTCTTTCTCGCAGAAAAGGCTCCGCGGCGGTGTCGCACATCAGATCTCATAAGGAGAACGGACATCCGATGTCTGCGACGCGAGCGTTCTTGGAAACGAGGTCACGGAAGGGGCCTGGCTGGCTTGGCGTGGCAATTTCCCTTTTGCGGCCCTTCCTCTCAATTTGCGCAGCGGAGACGGAATGTGGCGCCGAGGAGGCCGTTTGGAAGGGGGGGGGGGA